TCAGGCAGGCCTGCGGAGGAGTCACTGGCTGGGGGATTAAAGGGAATGTTTGCAGGGCAGATCCCAAGGAAAGCAGGCTGTTGCAGTAAGTGTATGAAATTTGGTCAAAAACACACCCCTTGTGTCCCAGTTGGTCATCAGAGACCAGAAGTGCACCAAGAAGACATCATCCCACCCTGGGAGCAGGGAAAGGATAGTCACCCACCAAATGTCTCCAAGAACTTTTCAGCTTTTCCTCCTCACCAGGAAAAATTTCTGCCCCCCTCATCTACAGCCCACCCTTGTCCTCTTCCTCCCACACCACATACAGCATGATCTAAGGGGGAAATTAAGCAAGAGAGTCATGTATGGTAACATGTACTGTATTTCATTAAGCTGATGTGCATTTTAATATTTAAATGACCCTTAATCAGGGGAAAGTTACTTTCTGGACATAGTGTCCTTCAAAGTTTCAGTCACAGGACTTTTGTTTTCTTCTTCAGCACCAAACCAGCACCCATCCTATCTGCACTGTCCCTCCTCCTGCAGCCAACTCAGCCTTCCTGACATCATCCCTAAAGATAACGTGGAATACACAGAGGAAACCTCAGCCCTTCCCTGGCTCCTTGCTCATCATCTCACATGGGCATGTGGGGAGAAGGAGCAGGGGCATCAGGATGGGCTCCACTCCTCTCCCTCTGCACAGCACGGGGGAGATTCACTCTGCAGGAATGTTACCATTACTGAAGGCTCTGGGAGCTGAACCGCTCTCTTCTCTAAGAGAAGTGATAATATAGATATAAAAAAAGCCCATTGGATGACTCAGTCCAGCCTGTGTTCCGCTGCGCTGCCGTTCCAGGAAGGGAAGTCTGCTCCCGAAACGGAGCCCTGAGTCACAGAGTTCTTGGAACCAAGTGGAGACTCATTCAACTTCTTCCCTAAGCAAGAAGTTTAAAAACCAGGAGCAGAGTTTCTCTGCCCACAGGAGTAGGAAGGATCCTGGGGCACCAGCACAGCACAAGGGGCTGGGACAGAAGGCACCCAGGGAAGTCTGGACTCGCTGAGCTCTACAAGCTGGGAGACAGGAATACCTCTGGCAGCCTTTGCTAAACCATCTCACTAGAGATCCTCCTTCCTTAGCCCATCCTTCAGATCAGCTGAATCCTGGGCACATGAGGAAGGCACAGCCAGCACCTGGGAGCCCCTACAGAAGCCCAGCACACCTTACCTCCACCCACATCCAGCTGAGGTCAGTCTCCAGCTCTTCAGGGACAAAAACAGCTTCCACAGGCCAAGTCACACATCAGGGAAAGCAAATTCCATCCCACCTGCCCCCCCGGCAGCCAGGGAAGCTCTGGGTTCCAGTGCGTAATTATGGCACAAGCAACAAGCCAGGCTTTCTTCAAGCCCTTCTGATGCATCAACACATGAGATAGCCAAGGACTCATCTCTGGGAGTTCCCTCTTTGGTTACATAAACACCAACCTCAGCTTAACCCTTTTGTACAAAAGCACAGGCCACATCCACCAGGAAAAATCCCCATTCCAGCTCAACACCGTTACATCAGGAGCCTGGAAATGCAGCTGCAGCACTTGAGGCTGCACTGCTGCCCCAGCACACAAGTCCCTGACCCAGTTTGTGCCTGCGGTCAGGCTCAGCTTCCAAACCCCACCAGGGGTGAGCGGTGGGTTGTATTACAAGGTTTTATTTCTCATTTATTGCTTCTGACACTATCAATATGCCATAAGCCCCTGCAGCAGGACCTCTGTGTGCACAGAGTGCAGTGTGACCCACACACATGCTGACACTTCCCAGTGAGGTGTGGCTGCAGTTTCTCACAGTGGTGACTCACCTGGCCCTACCTGGAGACAAACGTGTTGAAGTTACCTGCACACACTGCCAGGCCTACAGTGTGACAACATGCTGACATAAACTGCACACTCACAAAAAAATATTAACCAAAATAACCTGTTTCATACAGAAAATGAACACAGACACATCAAACCTACTCTGTCCAGCAAGAGCTCCCAGCTGGAGCTCCCAGGCAGGAAGGAGACACACACTGCACCTGCCCAGAGCACCTGAGCCTCTGCACAAGTAACACACCCCTGAGCTCAGTGAGTAGCTCAGGCACAATCCCCAGGGCAGTTCCTCTTCATAGTCACAGCATAGTTTGGGTTGGCAAGGACCTTAAATACCCTTCCACCCTCCTGCCATGGGCAAAGAGACTTTTCACTATCCCAGGTTGCTCCAAGCCTCATCCAACTTGGCCTGGAATGTTTCCAGGGATGAGGCAGCCACAGTTTCTCTGGGTAACCTGTGCCAGGGCCTCCTCACCCTCCCAGAGAAGAATTTCTCCCTAAAATTCCATCTAACCTTGCCCTCTGTCAGTGTAAAGCCTTTCTCCCTTGCCCTGTCACTTGAGACTATTTAGTCTCTGTCCATCCTTCTTGTAGCCCATGCAGGTACTGGAAGGGGCAGTTATGTCACCCTGAAGGCTCTCTTCTCCAGGCTGAACAACCTGACTTCTCTCATAGCAGAAGTGTTCCAGCTCTCTCATCCACTTGGTGCCTCCTCTGAACTCACTCCAACAGGTCAATGTGTTTTCTGTGCTGAATCACAGCACAGCTTGGTGCCTATGAGGCTTCCATTGCCTGTACCAGGCTCTGTAACATCCTGAGGGTCACAGCCCAGCAGAACTTTGTTTTTAAGGAACACAAGTATGTGATCAAACCCTCAGTATGGATACCACAGAGAAACAATCAAATGATGCAGCACAAGCCCTCCAGCAACAGGGAAATATGTCCTGAATCCTGCCTGCTGCTGGCCCAGGGCTCCATGCCAGCAGATGAGTGCTCCTGGGCCGTCCCTCGGGTCACACCTCACCTGGGTGCCAGGCACCTCACCTGTGTCCCACTGTGTCCCTGCTGCCTCAGAGGAGCTGGCTGTCCCATAGAGGGGTGGAGGCTCAGCCCCACCACATTAGGCAACGGCTTCTTCTCTGACTTCTCCCACTCCTTCTGGACATGAGATTGCAGCCTGAGACCCTCAGCAAACCTGTTCATACCAGCAGATGTTAAGCCCATACATGAAGGCTCTAAACTAGCAAAGAACTGAATCCCCAGCACTGGTGCAGCACATTTCAGCACAGCCTGGGCAGAAGGGAGCAGCTGGATGGACACATGAGGAACCCTAGACCCTCCGTGTCATTGGGCAGAGATGCCATCCCCTGGGGTCCCCCCCAGCAGTGAGACCTTTCACACCCTCAGTTCTGCAGAGGCAGCAGGCTCCCAAAGGCTACGACCAGAGAGGGACAGCACCCGGCTCTGGGGGTGGGAGGTGCCCCAGTCCCCTGAGACCCTCGGGTAAGCTCCCATGGGAGTGCAGGGCAGGATCCGTCCCTGAATCCGACACCTGCTGATATTACTCACCCTCACTCAGAGGCACAACCCTCACCTACTCACTGCTGAAGCACACGAGGCTCCTCCTCGATACAGAGGTCCCAAAAGTCTAAATTCAAGGGTTCCTGCCCAGACTGGAGGCAAAACCAGCCCTAGTCACAGGCTGTGCCTCCTTCGGCCCCCCAGACCTGCTCCCGTGCCGGCAACAGCGTCCAGCCCCCCGAGCTGCTGCCGGGCAGAAAGGGACGAACAAGCGATTTACCAAGGGGCCTTTTCAAACCCAGCCCCCCAGCCCGGAGAGCACCGGTAGCACCCAGCCGAGCCGGGCGGCCAAACCCCCGCCGAGCCGCCGGCACCTGGGGGGCTCCCCTGGCCCGGCCCCGGTTCCCCCCGCTCTCTCGCGCACCCACGGCTCAGCCCCGACTCACACCGTTCTCTCCCACCCCTCACTCACCCATGGCCCCGGGCCCGGCCCGGCCCGGCCCAGCCTCTCTCCGCTCCGGCGTCCGCCTGACACCGGAAGTGACGCGCCGCCACCGCCCCCCACCGCCAGCCCGCCCCCTGCCGGCCGCCGGCGGGACGGGGACACGGCGGCGCTGATTGGGCGGCGGCGACAGCGCGGGAGGTGATTGGAGGAGAGAGCAGGGGCCGGACGGGTTTTGCGACGGGCTCTGATTGGTTGGGGCGCGCAGCTGAGAGGGAAGCAAGCAGAAGAGGCTGATTGGCTGTGGTGCGATGAACCCGTCGCTGATTGGCTCAGGCCGGGCCCAGGAGCCCGGAGGGTGGGTGAGCACGCGGGAGACTCGAATGTGCCATGATTGGCCAAGGGGCGGGGCTTGTCCAGACGGTTCCGCCCACAGAGCCCCGCCCAGCGGCACTGGGATCCCCGAGCAAGGACACCCCGTGTTGTGTACCGCCGACAGGGACCCCGTGAGTTTGGACCCCCCGACTGGATACCCCGGGTTGTGTATCCCCGACTGGGACCCCGTGGGTTTGGACTCCCGGACTGGAACCCCCAGGCTGGGATTCTCCGGGCTGGACGCATAGAAGCCCCATGCTCTGAGCCCCGGGCAGAGACCCTTGGTGTTGGAACCCTCTGGGCTGGGCCCCCCAGATGCCCTGTGCTGCTGCCCAGCCCCAGGCCCGTGCAAAGAAGCACCCCCAGGGCACACCCCCCAGCTCCTCTCGCAGAGGCCACATGGCTCCGTGTCCCGCGGGGTCCCTGTGGGAACAGGCTACAGTGGGCTGCACCTTGGTAGCACCGGTTTGTGATGATGGAGGGGCAGGAAGTAGAGGAGCCGGCAGTGCCAGCATTCTGTGTCCTGGGTGAAGCACATTCCTACTTTTTGAGGCAGACAGTGCTGCCCCTTATCCTGCATGTTCACACCTCTTCACCTTGCTCTCTTCTCACTGAACACTTCCAGAACAGTGGCCCATCAGGAAGCTGAGCACAGAACCAGAACCAGCCCCTGCACAGCTCAACACCAGCAGCTCCAGCTCCCAGGGTAGCCATGCTGATGACAGCAAGTTCTTTGCTCTGTGGGGAGGGAAAGGCTGAGCCAGGGGCAGTGGAGAGACGAGTAGCTGCCAATGGAACATGAAACGAGCAGAGAGACCACAGAGACTTTAAGTGATGTTATTCACTACAAAAAACAGTCCTGCTCCTCTGCAGGCACCAATGGGGGGAACCGCAGAGCCCCAAGTCCCTGGCGGAAGATGAAAATGTTCCTGGAGGGATGGCTGGTGTGGAGGGGGCTGGCAGTCCACCAAAGGGACACGTCCATCCCAGGCCTATCTCCTGGGTGTATCCTGGCTGTTGTAGGCAGCACCAGGTCCTCACCTGTGCTTGGCACAAGGGAACTCCCTGCGGCCCTTGTTGCGGCCCCCGAAGCACCGCACCCTGTGGATGGCCTGCAGCTGCTCCTCGATGGTGGCCCGGATGTCCACCTCGTCAGGGATGTGCACGTAGCGGATGTTCCTGCCAGTCACAAAGAGCTCATCCAGGTGGGACACAGCACCCTGCCTGTCCGTGAAGGTCACCTCGGCCAGGCGCACGTTCATGAAGGCATCCACACTGGTGATGCACCCCATGGCCGCGCTCTCATCACGCAGCTCCACGGTGGTGACGCGGCCACACAGGCCCTGCAGCAGGATCACCAGGCTGTTCTCAGCGATGGTGCGCTCCTTCACTGAGTGGCTCACCTCCATGGCAGCTGTGGCGGGACAGGGCATGCCCTGGGGCTGGGGACACCCACCCACCCACTGCAGCTCACAGGGACCAGTCCCTTCCCATGGGCCAACCCCTGCACGCTCATCTGCACATGAAGCAGCCCCTGAACGCTGCCCTGAACACATATGTAGCACACTGTACCAAACCTCAAATGCTCACCTGCACACATCGCCCCTTGCACTCTCACCTGCACATTTATCTGCACCCACGCCATTCCTCGCACTCCCCTACACACCCCCACCATCACTCGCACACTCACCGCACGCCGCCCCTCTCCCCACTCACTCCCATTCTCCTCTCCCACCCCCCT